GGGTACACTGTGGCGCGGGCGGACCTGGGAGGGTCGCTGGGATGGGAAGGCAGAGGCGTGGAGGTCTAAGGGAAGGCCGTCCATGAGGGCTGGAGGGGGATTTTGGCCCTGCTCGGCCCGGCCACGGATTACACAGTGAGAAGCCTGGAAGGTTTTCAGATGTCCTAAGTCTCTGCTGCAAGGTCTTTGGCAGAGGCCTTGCATGGCCAGCCTTTGGAAAGCACTGAGGAGCACACATACACACACCCCAAACACAACCTGCAACTTCTCCATAGTGAACCCAGCAGCGTCATGGGCTCATCCCCATCCACTCTACTCTGGCTGATGGATTAAGTTTCTCGGTGCCTGGTTGAACTATGTTGGATTATGTTTCTCGGTGCCTGCTTGAAGGCACGGGGAAACCATGCCTTCTAGAATAGTTTTGGCCAACCTGTGGCAAGGCTGGCTGGAAGGGATGAGAGCATGGCATGGCTGGTGTGGGAGGCTGATCTAGTCCAACGGGGCTGTAGTTTTCTGGAAGAGCCGCCCTGGGACCGGGGGTCTGTTCTGGGGTGGGGGGGGGAAGAAAAGGTGGCCTCAGAGTGGTGGGCCTGTTGCTGCTCCACGTCTTGGCTGGGAGAAATCACCCACTTTCTCAAACTTGGGGTTTTTCTAGGAGAGCCCTCTCTTCCTCAAAGACGAAATTCCCCCTACATTTTCATTCTAGAAAACCATTTTTAGGTTTTATCTTCCTTCCCCCCCCCTCCCTCTTTCCCTCTCCTTCCTTCCTTCCTTCCTTCCTTCCTTCCTTCCTTCCTTCCTTCCTTCCTTCCTTCCTTCCTTCTTTCTTTCTTTCTTTCTTTCTTTTGTCAGGCTGTCCCTCAGTCTCCTTGGAAGTGGTGAATCAAAACTTCCGGGTCCAGCCCTTGCGTTCACCACTTTGGCCGAGTCTCTCTAAGGGGCTTTATTTCAATTTGCCAGTTAACTCCTGGCTGTGCAGATGGGAGCCCTGGGCTCATTTCCCTTGTTATAACAAGAGCCCTACCAACCAACAGTTGCCTCCTGCCTTGGTGTGCATTTTCTAAGAAATCCCATAAATACCACACTTTAACGATAGTTGTGGAAATTATCTTTCGGTCTGGTGTGTCGTTCTTATCTGATAGTGTCATCGCTGTTGTCTCGAGCCTTTTGTGTGCTGACGGGGTGTTGTGATCATTAGGGGAGTGTTAGAAAGCACGGAAAAACAAGGCTGCTTACCACTCTGTCATAATCAGGATGTTGGACCCTCTTAATTCTAGCTGGAAATGCGGTGTTTGTTTTCCATTACCTTTTTTTGCAAAAGAGAATACTTTGTGTCCACATTGAAACTCACACGGCCCATCTGATGGTGTTCCTTCATTTTTCCAATACTGCGCAAATATAATTCTTGCCGCTATTATAACATGCAAAGTCAAATATATGCTTTGTTTACCAGTCTTTTCTGGCATTATACCTAATAAAAAAAGTTCAGGCTTAAAATCTAGGTATTCTCCCAACATCTTTTCTACCCAGGCATGTATCTTTTTCCAATAACTCTTTGCTTTGGCACATGTCCACCAAACGTGGTAATAAGTGCCTGACTTATGTTTGCATTTCCAACATCTATCTGACATGTTTTTAAACATTTTTGCTAGTCTTGCTGGTGGCAAGTGCCATCTATAGAACATTTGATATAAATTTTCTTTGTAGGAAGTTGACATTGTCAGTTTGTAATTTCTTTCCCACAAATTTTGCCATTTTTCAAATTCTATATTGTATCCAAAATATTAGAATGGGTGGAGATGGATAGACTGACTCTGAGACTGAAAGAAAAAGAAGAAACGGAATATTATCAAACTTGGGACTTGGCTAGAGGAAAAAATAAAGGATTAGGAACTAAATATGTATTAGCGAATGTTAACTCAGCACGTTTGTTGAACAAATACTACTGAATGAATGGGAAAAAAAATCAATATTTTTTTTTTAAAGAGAAACTCACACGGCCCAGATAATCCCATCTCTGCTTTGCTGGATCCTATCCATCTATTCAGCCATCTTTCCCCAGCCAGGAGCTTCACAGACGGGGGCATTTTGGGCCCTTGACCTGGAGTATTTGACAAGGATGCCGGCTCTCTTCCCCTCTCACGGAGCAGACTGGGAATGCAGGCTAGCCCTGCCCTAAGCACTTTCCTCTGGCATTGCCTTTTGGTTTCTTTTTACCCCTGGCATCTTCCTTCTGTGCCGTCATCCAGTTGGGTTGTCCCAAAGATGCTTTTTCACGAGGCAACTGGACTTTCTTGTTTTTTCTTTGAAGACCTTTTGCTTCTTATCCAAGAAGCTTCTTCAGCTCTGACTGGATGGAGCTGTAGAAGCTTCTTGGATGAGAAGCAAAACATCTTCGAAGAAAAACAAGGAAGTCCCGTTGCCTGGTGAAAAAGTATCCTTGGGATAATTATGACCTGGAGGACTGAGAATCTCCATAGACATCCAGTTGGGTTGCTTGCCTGCTTTTTTCCTGAACTTAAAGAGATTTATGAGCACGTGTCCTCCGCATCGCAAGGGCCTGGAGATGCTCTGTTGAGGCCATTCTCAAGTACAGGATGAACTTCCTCAGAGCAAGCCTCGGCTTGTGTTCAGTTCTTCTGCGGGTTGATTCTAACCCCTGTGTTGTGCCTTGGTGGCTCCCCCTTCCATCACAACAGCCCAAAGCTTGGATGGTGGAATGGGCCTCTGCAGCCAACATAGTTCTCCAGTGAACTTTTTCTGTTCTTTCTGCTCTCTTTGTTTTCTTGAAAGGCATCTGAGCCTGTCTGTAGCAGCCATGGATGGCTAGGCAGGAAAGGATCTTCTGGATTCCTCAGTCCCTGAGTTTAGCTCACTGTAGGGAGCCAACTAAGAGTAGCACTGCTGGCTCCATGTGATGTAAAGGATCGAATGATCTCCTGAGGATTCAGCTATTCTCTCCTTGACAATCCAACTTGGCTGCTTCTGGAACCATCATCGCCATGAAGTGAAGTGCAGGATAAATGCCAGGTCCTCCTTGCTGCACTGTGGATGGTCTGGTCAGAAGCTGCTCTTAGGAGCGCAAGAGGTTCCACCTCTCCTTCCTCAGCTGTTGCTAGCCTGAAGACCCTTTCAAGGCCCGGAGGCCAGCAGTTATTTCAGAGTGGAGGAAATTAGAACACCAGGAAAAAGGACTGAATGGACCCTTCACATCAGCACCATTTATCTCCCTGTAGTGGAGAGCAGAGTTCCAATCCTGTATCTTTTCTCTATCTTTTTTTAAAAAAACTAAAAGTTCTGGAGAAAAGATGTGCTGCCTTGCTTAGGAGAAGGAGAGGTCACATGTACTTTGAAGATGTACAAGGCAGCTGGGGAGCATCTCTGTTCCTTTTCTTATTCATATAACTTCTACAGACGTTCCAAGTGACTCTTCATGCAAGGGTAGCGTCTCTCCCAGCCCTTCTTGAAATGATCATGCAATTACATCATGAATTGTCAAAATTTAGGAGGGACTGTTTTCAGGGGAAATCACCAGAACTTCCTGCTAACAGTTGTCCAGTCTGAGATCTGCTGAAAGTAAAACCATCTAATTCACTCCCAGCATCTGTAATATATACACATTCTATTTCTATATTTCTCTCTCTCTCTCTCTCTCTCTCTCTCTCTATATATATATATATATATATATATATATATATATATGTATGTATGTATGTATGTATGTATGTATGTATGTATGTATGTATGTGTGTGTGTGTGTGTGTGTGTGTGTTAATAATAATACTAAAAACGTGATCCCTGGGTACATGCATGCCAATAAAAAGGGGGGGAAGTGCCTACGGGAACGGCAACGAGGTGGCTGAGACCAGCTGGACTCCAGGGAAGAGAGTAGGCACCCCGAGCCTGGTGGACTCGGTTGCTGCAGGGGGCAAGGGGGTAGGATCACGTGGGCAGGTAGAGCGGGGGATACGGCCGAAGAGCCGTTCTCCTCCCCCCTTACAAGGTAGATGGGGGTCGGGCTCACCTTTACTCGACACACTTCCGCGTGTGTGCCCGTCCTTTACGTCCTATTCTTACCGGCCGCCCCACCTTTGGTGGCGACCTCGCGTCGGATACGTTAGTCCTGGTCACTGCTCCAGGTCCCCGGCACACGTCCGAAATAAGTTGGATATTTTCTGACTCCCATAGACTGGCTTCTTAAGCCCTGATGATGTCAGCAGTGGAAGCTGACGAAAGCTTGGCGGTTGTTTAACTGGTAGTAAACTTCCATAGTTTAATGATTTTATCCTGGTGTTCACTTTTATTTATTTATTTATTGGCATATATATATAAATTTTCTTTCTTCCTGTCTTTCTTTACATCCATCCCTATCTATAGATATCTCTACCACTTCAGTAGGTGGCTTATTTCTTTAGATTTTCATTTATTCCAAACGCCAATAAAATGTCACAAAAACATGTAAATCAGAGCTTGTTTGTAGCATGATTCAGGATTAGATTGGTGGCGATAGTGTAGTGCTGCTGTAAGCACAGCTCCAACCGCTGAATAATTTTAAAATGTGGTTTTAATGCTGGACTAGCTAAAAAGAATCAATCTTGCAAATCTCCATAATCTGCGGAAATGAAAAAGTACAAAAATAAGAACATTATTAGATATCAGGGAACCATTCAGATCTCTTATCAACTCTATGCACAGTTTTCTCTGGACTGTATATTTGATATTTGTGATGTTTGAGCGAATAATGTCCCCAAATATTGATGGAATAAGAGCGTGATATGCCTTGAAAGAGGAAACATGTATATTTGAGTGAAGATCATGGATTCCAGTGTTCAGTTAAAAACTAATTTTTGCCCTGGATACGGTCAACTCTATTTTGGGATCTTTCAGTTTGTGGTCACAATTCAGTGACTCAGAATCAGTTTAGTGACCGCTATAATGATTTGTTGGGACTTCTTGATATTAATGTATTTTTCCCCCTCTCTCTTTCTCTTTCCTTATAGCAGGTGCCAAAGCCTTTCTCTGTGACCATTGTGGTGCACAATTCTCTAAAGAAGATGCCCTGGAAAGTCACAGGCAGACCCACACTGGTAAGTCTCCTTTGGGGTTCCTCTGCATCTGGAGATAGTATCCTCTTGGAGATGGTTTGGTGGCACTTCTTCCTAATCTGGGCCTTTTTCTTGAACTGGTGGTGTCAATAAAATAGGCCAACTTTTCACTAGGATGTTCTGTGGGTGTTGCTGATGTTGACGTGGAAGGCAACAAGAGTTCTTAATATTGGAGAGGAAGTTTAGTTCTCTCCTGCCCAGTTTCTCCTCCACGTTTCACAGTGTGAGCTTGACCAGGAAAGGAACTGGAAGATCTGCATTCATGGTGGCTCCAGAGGCACTGAGACTAAAGGTCCCAGACTGTCCAAGTTTGATAACCACATAGCAGACACCAGTTGGGAAAGCTGATCTTGTTCAGTTATGCAGTCTATAAATAGAAATAGGTAGGCCTACTGAATGTAAAGCATCTACATCTAGGGCAGGAGTGGGGAACGATGGCCCCGTTATGACTTGTGAACTTCAACTCCCAGAATTCCTGAGTCACCTGGCTCAGGAATTCTGGGAGTTGAAGTCCACAAGTCGTAAAGGGACCATCGTTCCCCACCCCGATCTAGGGAATAGAAACTCCTGTTGGAAAGGTTAACTTTCTGGACTGGTTCCACCACTAGCAAAACCAGTGTGGGTGTTGTGTGAGACATTGCAACAGTCATCTCTGGTAGATCATCAATAGTTTTCTAATTGGGTGAGGCTGCTTGGCCCCACTTTGGAGAGGCAGGGCGAGGTGAGGAGGGGTATGAACCCTGCCAATCAGCACTTTGCTCAACAGCTATTGCTCAACAGTGGTTGCCCCATTTCTGATTGGATTAGTGCCTGTTTTAATTGGGTTCACCTGAGATGTAATATGCCTGATCAGCAGAGGTTCCCACCAGAAGACAGGGGTGATTGCTCCATAGCAAGGAGAAGTTATCAAGTTGTCACTACATACAGTATGAAACAAGATATGCTTTGAAATGGGTTTCCCAGAGGGCAGCTGAGGTGCTGGGCTGATGCTTACCATCATGTAGATCCCAGAGTCTGTGAAACTCTGATCCCTCCAGGAGAGACATAGTAACTGAGATCCTTCTAGAAGTTTTCAACAACTCTGATCTCCAGTTGGTATGGCTGCATCCCAGAATGGGTCAGTTGTTTCCAAAACATGAGGAGAGGATCCACTTATTCCATTATGAAGACATCTTGCCTTTAATACTCAGGCAACTCAAGGCCTGTCAGCTAAACTGAGAATCTGGAAGAGAAAACAACCATGGAGAATTTCTACTATTCAAAAGCAGGAAAGGAGGGGAGATACTTCTCCAGATTTTTTGAGTGAGACTTTAGGAAAAGGTGCTCAGGGAAATGAAATTGGGCATCCTTTGTTAGGTTATCAATCACCATTAGGGAATCAAGGGGAAGGTGAGAGGCAAATCCTGGCTTTATAGCCACTGATTTCATCCACCTGACCCATTCTAGTATCAAATAATCTGTTCAAACATTTTATCCGCTCCATTAGATCTATGGGGAGCACCCATGTCACCTACTGTCACACTTAGATTAGAGCATGAGGGATCTTGATGTTGGCTTACAGTAGAAGTGGGGAACCATGGCTCTTTTATGACTTGTGGACTTCAACACCCAGAATTTCTGAGCCAGCATAGCTGGCTCAGGAATTCTGGGAGTTGACATCCACAAGTCATAGAAGGGTCATGGTTCCCCACCCCTGCCTTAGAAGATTATATGGCTCCATATGCTGCAAGATGTAACTATGTGGCTTAGTGCTGGTAGAAACTAGCCAGTGGTAGTTTTCACAATAGCCTCTGATTAAACAAGTGGCAACTTTGCATGGTGCATGAACTCGGCTTCTGAGACCACGAGGGAATTCCCCAAGCTGTCTCCTGGACTGCATTAGGGCAAACAAATCTGTTTAGTACTGATCAAGCAAAACAGGTCATTAAGGATGAAATATTTACATTTGCGAGCTGAAGCATAAGACGTTGGATGCTCTCCTGTGCCTGGCTTTTCCACACTATTTTTCCACATCATTGTGATATTTTTTTTTGATACCCCTCCCATGCCTCTGCACATATGTCTGCCAATAGGCAGCACATGCATCGTGGCCCTTCATACATGAAATGGTACAATTAATGCAGTGATGTTGGTCACATGTGATGTCCTTGGAGTTTGCCCCAGACCGAAAGATCACCTGTGGCAGGTGCATTAAAGCTGCCAGGCAGAGGGAAAGGTGGACGTTCTGCGTCTCTCCTGTCCCGGGACAAAAGAAGACACCCCCCCACACCTGTTTGTATCATGCTTCCTTCTAGGAAACATCTCTCCCAGGGGCCCTCCTGGAACTAAAGTCAGGGAGAGTCGTCAGCTGCCAATATCTCCCATGACCTTGGACAGGGAGGGACTCGCAAAGAGGCATGAAGTATGTTTTGATTGAAAACTTTGGGATGACATGTCAGAGGCTGCCAAGGAGATCAGCGTCTGTGCCAGGGCCCCGAGGGTGACATCGAAACGCAGAATGGAGAGGAACAAAAATAGGCGGCTTTGGGTCACTGTGACCCGATGGGAGGTCTTGAGCTGTAAACAAGGGCTTCTCGGTTACGTGTCAGAAAGAGGCCGTATTTCCAGAGTGGGCTGCCTCCTTGCCAAGAAATGGATAGCTTCCTCTCGCTGAGCAGGACATGAGGTTGCACTTGGGGGAGGAAGACGGTCTGTACTCCAAGCAAAGGCACCTTTTCAAAACCCTACAAGGCTGAGGAGCTTCCTCAGCTTCCATCAGGGAGAGCAAGCATCATTTAGCTGCCTCCTCCTCCAGATTGGGGATGGTATGGGGAGGGGGTCAAAGTGGACCTCAAATATTGGTTAAGTCTCAGGGAATATCAGGTGCCTTGTTGAGTCAAAAATAAGTCTTTTTTTCTAAGAGTTCATTGGCAGAGCCAAGAGGGCTTCTGATTGCGGAGTGGAATGGATCGTTTGTGGAAAGGAAGTTAGATCGATGGGCTGAAATTAACCAAGAAACTGAGCCAAATGCAGAATGAAGAACGCAGAGAACCAAAATCCAATGGATGGGGCTACATGGCTCACTTGCAGCACTTGGATACTGTCTTATTCTTGGGAATTAGGCAGAGTGCTGCACCGTGGGAAGACAAGACAGAAGGGGAATATAAAAGCCCCCTTTAATTACCCCCAGAGGAAGCCTCCAACCTCTGCTCCATCCTTCCAGAGAGCAGGACACAAAATCACCTATTTAAGATTCAGTCAACAGCGGAACCAGTGAGGCAGGCAGGTGCCGGGTCCCCCTTTGCTAGAGGGATTGAAGCAGAGCCTGGAGGCTTTCATTGGGATGCCTGTACAGGATCCAAATCAGATTTGAGGGGCCCAGTGATGCCCCTCCCCACCATGTCAGGAGTGCTGTGTGTAGCAGCAGTCTGGTTTTCAGGCCCAAGCAAGAAAGGCTGATTGTTTTTTATCTTCTTTCTACGCTTCCCAGGTCTTTCCCACCTGCTCCTTCTACATGTGTGAGCTCCCTAAAATTATAAGAATTGTGGTTATTGCTAGCAGATTTAGAAAAGCTAGCCTAGACATAAAGTGGAGAATGTGTCTGTTTACTATATTGCTATAAGACAAGTAAGATCAGGGCACACCTGAAACGTCCCTCTAAGGAATTGGTAGGACATCTCCATCCTATCAGCCGTTGGTAGGCATCTGTCATCTCTGGACTTGGCACATGCCATTTCAAAGCCAACTGTCCCTTCACATAAGAACAAATTCCACAAACTAATGAGATGTCCTAGGGCTGCAGGCCCTTTCCTACTTTTGCCAAGAAAGTAACATGGATACGTCTTTGCAGTTACCAGGAATTGAGCTTAATTGAAAAGATTAAACAGTTATTTTTAATGAAATGTCAAGTGAAGAAGTGTTTTGTGTTGTTACTAAAAACGAGGATGATAATTGTTGAGTATGAGTATGCCCACTGGTGTGACTCTGGAATGAACGGTTGCATTTGGGCTCTGTGGTTATGAGGAACATCAAGAAGATCTGATATCTTTTGGAGGCTGGTTGCAATGTCTTCCGCTTGCTGAAGGATCTATGATGCAGGCAGGACATTCAGAGAAGTGGATACTTGGATTCTTCATGAGTCTCTGGAATGACTGGACATTTCTAACAGGTCCTGGTAGCGATGCCTTCTATTCCAGCCTTCCTCAGTCTCCAGATATTTCAGAATTCCATCTTCCCAAATCTGGAGGGCAACCAATTGGTGCAGGTTGAGGATCTGTTGATTGTGACCAACAGTTTGATCAAACTGGGCCACACCAAAGTGTGTGTGGTATTTTTAGTTGTAGTGGAAGTGGAAATATGCCTCCCTCCCTCCCAATTTTTCTTTTTCTCAAGAACAAGGCTTCCAAATCTCCGGAGAAGCAGATTGGAATCTCCTTGTTTCTGCCTTAGTTGGAAAAGGTGAGGGAAGTGAAACCATGTTCTTGTCAAATGAGAAAAAGATCAACTCAACTCCTGCCAGCTGCCAGCAGCCTGGTCGCCTTAGCCAGATTACCCAGGGCTTGTGTACGCAAGCAGGATTCTTTCTCTTCTTCTTTCGAAGCAGATGACTTTAAAATATCAGAGGTAGTTTGTATCAGGTTTCTCAAGGCCGGCCAAGATATTTCACATGAGCAAAGTTCTTGGAGCAGAATGCGGTCTGACGTCCCACTAGGGAAGTGTGTTTGTCATTGTACACCCATCCTCTGGCAAGGATTGACTCCTAACTGCGGTCCACTCTTTCGTGCTACCCTGACATGTGGGGTGACTAATATCGAGGATAGTTTATGAGCCTGTCATTTTCTCAGCCATGACACAGTCCTGGTCTTCAGAGGTGGACGGACCTCCTGAAGGATTCGGCTGTACCTGCTGCCTACACCTGTCCTGCTCCGGGCAGCCCAACACCTGCACGTCTGCCCAGGTGTGAATAGGTGTTGACTTGTCACGACCAAGCAAAGTGGGGACTT